TGTGTGTGTGTGTGTGTGTGTGTGTGTGTGTGTGTGTGTGTGTGTGTGTGTAAATGTGAATTTGACAGATTTAACACAGTCATTGAGCAGTCTTGAGACACAGTGGTCACACTTAATTTCTCATGCCAGTGATGCACTAATGAATCAACACACGCTTGCCTGTCAACAGTGAGAGGTCTTGGTAAAATATACTGGCGTATTTTTTTTCTTTTTTAGCCAAACTGCTACTTAAAATACAGCTGCAGGTTTTTAGATAAGGAAAGGGCAACTGTGTGCAATAAGACAATTAGAATCAGCAAATTAAAATTTTGTAATTTATTGGCTTTTTTTTCTCTTCAGTTTTGGGGGTCAGTCGCATAGCTCAATATTGTTGGAACGCAAGGAGAAAACGAATGCGTGTCGTTGTGTGTTTTCTTGCTTGTCCTCATCCTGAAGGACCCCCCGAGTCACCACTGACAGTGTCTGTGTTTAGCCATGGCATGTAAAGGGATTTGCTGTATCTGAGGTGTGTTAAGTGTTAAGTGTATATATTGTGGAGATTGGCAGGCTCTGGCACAGGGCTGAGTCTCGCCCCCCCCCCTCGCAGGAGCGATCGGTGACATTCTCTCGGTGTGTATTCGTGGGCACGTATTTTAGTTGAGCAGCTGTTTCCAGCTCTTCCTACTGCCACATTGTCCATGCCTTGATCCACGACGACGCGCCAAGCATCAAATATTGTTTTTCACACATACACCTTGCACAGCCTGAGACATGTCAGGCTGTGGCGCAGAAAGAAGGGAGAGAGAGAGTTTCTTCTGTCGGGCAACGGAGAAGGAGGGAGAGAAGAAGACGGAAGGAATAGGAGAAGGAAGAAAAAAAAGAAGAACATGAACAGCGGCATCTGTGCTGGCTGTAGGAAAAAAATAGCATTTGGCAAGAGTTAAGTGTTTTTAAACCAACCTCCCCTCACAGATGAGCTTAAGAAGACAAAAGTTGTTTAATTCGGTTCCATTGCAGAGGCAGTAAAAGGATAAAGAGAGTGGGGCGCAATTTTTACTTTGTTCCAGTCATTTGGAAGAGAATTGACATCTGCAAACTAAAGGCAGAACCGCCCACACTGCCAGCCTGCCACATCCAGTGCATATAAATACATATATGCAGACACTCACACATTTACACACCTACAGGCTATGTGGTGCACTCACAGTGTCACACATATATGCACAAAAAAAACCTGCTCGCACAGACATGCACAGAGAGGAGGGCATGAACATTTACAGTAGCCAGAATTTCTGTTTGCACTCATGAATAAATGCATGCTGATGAGAAAAAGTTTTCGCCACCTGCGTTACTCCGGGATCGGCTGACTGACACCCATTTACAGCGGAGAATCTGCCTTGTGTCGTGTCTCTTTTTTGATCCCTCTGTCTTGGACTTTGCCGTACAAATCGCCAGCGAGGCGTGTGGATTATATGCCGGGAGGCTGATCGGGAGGTGGGGGGAGAAACATAAGCCATTTAAGTTGCCTTCGGGATAAGGCTGTCTGTCAGAGTTCACACATAAATAATGTCACAGGCCGTAATGTACCAGGTCTTTGAAGAAGCCATGGCTCCCTGCTAATTCCCTTTGATTGGGGAAATGACCTTCATTGTTGGACGCAGCGAGATGACATCTCTCTGGCAGCTTTTCGGCAGAGTAAAGAGATCCGACAACCCCTCACCCCCACTCCTCTCCAACTCCATCTCTCCTCCGACCACCCCCCCCCCACATCTCCCTCTGCATATTCTTGTTCTGTTTGTTTTGTTTGCGCGACATCTTTCTCGAAAGAAAGAGTGCGGCTGTTTTAAGTAGGCGCTGGATTAGATAAATGGGATGTGACAGGTGTGACCGCTGCCTTCAAGATGCCTGCTTTCCTCTTTGCTCTCTCTCTCTCCATGCATCTCTCTGTCAACTCGCACGCTCTCGTTCGCTCTCATTTCCTCTAATAACGCTGCTTCTCTCTTTTTTTTTTTCTGAGGATTTCGCTCAGTCTTTCTTTCTTGCTTTCTTTGACTTTTACACTCTTACGCTCTATCTCTCCCTCCGTCTCGTTACATTTGCCGGCGCTGATGCAACTCCTAATCACAAATCCGCTCATTTTTGAAGTCTGACTTTCCCTAATCTGAAGAACAGCGAGAGGGTGAGGGAACAAAGAGAGGCACGAGCAACCAACTCGGTCAGGTGGTCAGAGGAGAAGAGCAAAGTCTTTCAGGGCTTTTAAAATCACAAGACACTTGTGACACAAGGCTGTTAGCGGCCTCAGCAGCGACTGACTGAAACCTCATTACCCCGTCATATACAGTATACACAAACGTTCCAACCTTATCATTGCTGTCACAATCTGTCCCTCTGTTACAATGCATGTGCAAGAACGCCAAGGAGAGGATGGGTGAATTATTGAGTGCGCTGACTTATTCAGAGTGTGGAAACACACAGAGCCCAACACAGAGAGTCAGCGAAGTGTCAAAAGTGCCAAGTGATAATGGTCTGCTGTACCTCTCATACAATGTTTGGCTTCCGACAACAAAAGCATCATCGATATGGAAAGCCTCTGCCTGGCTTTATGTTCTTAAAAGGACAAGAAAAAGTAATTTGAGACTTTGTTTTGAGTTTTTTCTCTTCTTAAATTGTCCCATTTAAATGCTTTTTTAAAATTAAAGACACAGATCAGTCTGTCTAGACTCTAAATGACTTCACTGTGGACTGTGATCTTAGTATTAAGTTCCACTTCCACCGGCAGCCTGCAAGTTAATGATTAGAAAACCATCTCCACCTTAATGCTCTGTAATGTCATTATTAAAGGTGGAATGTATCACCGCCTCCCCATGCCCGTCCATCTCTGTGTCTCTCCCAGATGCACACCCACACAAAGACAAACACAGGTACGGTGTATGTGTGCCGCTGTCACAGGTGGCGTGCCCCATACTGTAGTGAGATTAGCCAAAGATTAACCCTGTGGACCATTGACCCCACGAAGAGCTGAGCTGACAGACTGCGTGGCTGATTGACTGACTCATTTGTTTTTGTAATTAAACAGCAACACGCACAGTTTACCACACCTGAGTGCGAGTTCAAGAAGGAGCGCACTTCTGTGCATGTAGAGCATATATACCCTCATGAATCCATCTGTGCATGTGACAAAGAGATAACAGCGTTCCCTCTCGAAGCTGACGGCATCCTCACTCTCAGTGTCACCGCTAATTGGGCTGAGCCGGCGTTAAGTCTATAACGCCGCCTGTAGAAACAAACACAGGTTTTATGGGGTCACAGATTAAGATGCTAAGAGTTACTTAGCACTCGGCTACTGTCCTGAGGCTTGTTGTTCATGTTTGAGCTTTCGTTTTGAAAGGGAACAATAACGTCCGTACTCAGACTCGCTTATTTAAATGTAAATAAGTGCGTTCGAGCTGTCGGTGGTCAAAAATATGGCAGTGAAAGTTGATACAGATTTCTAAATATAATAAGAAAACAATAAGAAAAACAATGTTTAGTGGAAAGAGGTAAACTTGTTCTTCTGCAAAGTCCACTTTTCTAAATATTTTTTTTCAGCCACAGTCATTACTTCCAAGCATCGTTAAACTAAACGTGTTGGCAATAGAAGAGAGCTTTACTGTAAGCTGTATACGTTATAATTACTTGCTGACATGCTGATTGTCTTTTCTCCTACAATGATGTTTTTTGCCCTTTCAGTTCTTTATGAGTTTAGGGGAATGATTTGACCTCACAACAGAGCCGTTTTTGGAGTTTTTTTTTATCTCTGAATTTGACGGAGTTGCATCCACAGCATTAATTTTTGAAAATCTTAGGACAAAAGTAAACCAGCGCTGAAAGTTGGGCTTGGAATTTGTAGCATTGGACATCCCTCAAAGGAAGCCATTGAACGCTTTGTAATGAAGAGTTAGCGTGACACTTAAAGAGTGTGCAGTCTTTTACTGTTTCATGTGCTCGTTCTGTCAAGTACCTCCAAGTCAGTCAAATGCAGATTCCAGAGGATCTGAGAGAGAGAGAAGTAGTATGCCCTAACTTGAGATAACTGGACAGGGATGAAAGTTGTTGCTTTGGGGTATAAGAACAGGAGATGTAGAAAACAGGAGCAAGAGTAGGGAAGAAAGATGGAGATAATGAATGGGTTTATGCCAGCTCCTCCCTCGTTTCCTCTTAATTTTCTTTCTCTACAGTTTGTTTGTGTCTTTAAAATCGCTTTTTTGAAGCTAAGAATTGATTAATCCCTATCCCCCTCTTCTTCTTTCCTCTCTCCAGGAGCAGGATGGCACTAAGGGGAGCTCCCTGAGTCCTTACCCTCAGCACAATGCTACCTCACCAGGCAAAGAAGAGGGTGGAGGCGGGGGGCGCCTCTGCAGCGACGGGGGCTCGGCCGCGGGCACCCTGGGCACCCCCGAGAGACGCAAGGGCAGCCTGGCAGACGTGGTGGACACACTGAAACAACGCAAGATGGAGGAGCTGATCAAAAACGAGCCAGAAGGTCAGTGATGAAAGGAAACGCTTGTTACAGCCAGATGTGTGATCTGCAGGTCCCCACCATCTCCCTGGCTCTGCGCCCGACTTTTATTACACTCTGTTGTCGTTTCCCTCTTCTTCATCATCTTTCTTTCTTTCTTTCTGTCTTATTTTCTTTCTCTCTCTCACTCTTTCCCTCTGTTCTGAACCCACACACATTCAGATGAGAGGCCAGCCTTTGTTTTTTTTTTCCAGCATACAGACAGACAGCATTGGCTGCTTGGGCCTATTGTCCACCGTGCCTTGCATATTTATCACAACCTGACAAATAAGATGCGAGCGTGGATGCACGTGCTTGTGTGTGTAGTGTGCACTGGAGTGAGTGTGAAAGGCCTCCAAACATACTTTAGTAGATTAACAAATCACCAAATGTTTCCCTGCTTTAATTTGAAGCAGTTACTTAAAAATTCTCTCAGCTCAGTGATCATCTTATCACCTTTCTTAGTAATTTTGTAACATGTTCTGTTGGATACAGATTCCAAACATTGTTTTTCTGCAGGGCCTCCATAGTTAAGCTCGATTAGCCCCCACATTTGACTCTCAAATTTATCCTCAGGCTAAACAGTTGGAGTCTAGAGAAGATAAAGTTAGCCCACTAATGTCCACTGCTCCCACAAATGGGGGCTTAAGTCACCATGAAATGCATTTAAGAGATAATGTGACAACAGGTGTCCATCCCCTTTAGGAAGATGTGCTAATATAAATAACAGGTTACTGTATTGGTGGGGATGCTTCACAGAGAAGTCAGTGTCAACTTTAAAGGATATACTGCACCCCTAAGAAATGCAGCTTAGAGCCTGCAACATGTTGGGGTCGTACCAAAACCTGTTGTGCAGGAAAGTCCTATCTAATTAACCCGAATAGATCCTGATTGAGACGAGTTGATTAAGAGTCAGTTTCCATCGAAAACAAAAACAGTTTGTCAGAGTTGGACATGATGTTGGTATGATGTCACCTGTTGGTCTCTGGACTGAATGTTTTGCATTGTGGCTTCCAGTATGCTTGTTGTTTTTGGAGCCGAAAGTGATATTTAGGCGAGAGTGAAGCGTTAAGTTATCAGCTAAGTGTAGTCAAGTTTGTGAGCAAGCTGCTTCCATAAGCAAAACGGACGCAAAGCCTTAAAAAAATCCAAACAGGTGGGTTTTAAAAGAAATGCACCCTTCATATAGGTGTTACAATTAGGGGGAACGATCCGTGGATGCAGTTTATGTAGTGTTTTATCATCTATTGGGGATGGACGAGCTTTTGGACACAGCCTGAAGTGGTCGCTGGAGAACAGCTTTCAAGTCTGCAACGCGTTAATATTTGTACATCTCTGACCAAGCAGCCTCAAGCTCGCATAACCGCATACCCAAAAGGTGAAAAAACAGCTCAGTGGTGCAGTGTGGATTTGCCTTTAAAGTGTAGGTGCATTATGTGTTTGTATTCTGCCAGTACATCAACAGGCTTTCATTTCAAGCTGCGATGCACTAACCTTATTTTCCAGGCTTTTCTGCCGAGTTTTCAAAAGGCCGAGACTGTTGGTCAGCTCTCGCTGTCTGGTTGTTTTTATTCCAGTCGATAGAGAGGCCTGTTGTGGCACATTTTAAGGAAAAAAAAAAGAAATAGAGAAATACTGAACTGTTTGTTGAGCAGAGCTGTAATTGAGGTGTGTTTTGGGTTGTTCGCTGCTTCACTGGACCTCGTGAACTGGCTGCACAGGAAAAAAAACAACAATAATGGATCTTTATGAGTCAGCCAGCGGAGAGTGAGAGAAGGGGAAGGAAGAGACAGAAGGTGAAGGTAGGGAAAGTGAAGAAGAGAAAGACCAGTGTCTTCACAGACCCCATTAGCACAGTGCCACAGCGGAGCAGCATCCAAACCGACCTGGAGCATTAGCTTCTCTATGTTTAAATGAGACGCGCTAACAAAAGGCCCCAGCGCCTCAAGACCCAGCACGCACACACACAAACCCAGGCTAAAGAAAAAAGAAAAGAGAGCAAAGGAAGAAAAAGGAGGCTGAGAAAAGATGAAGAGAGGCAGAGGGAAATGGAGGAAGTGGGGGGGGGACGATGAGGGGCAGTATTGAACGTGAGATAGAAATCCCTTTTCTGTGTTCTGTGCCCGGCTAGCTATTGTTTGGCTGTGTGGCTCACAAAGGCCATTAGCAGCAAACAGCAGGTTGGGATGAAAATTTAATGAAGGCTTTAATCATTATGAAAGGCCTGGAATATTACTGCTCCCTCTCTCTCTCTCTTTCACACACACATACACAAAGCCTCCAGCTGGATCAATGAGACACACATACACATTCATAGTGTACGAACATTGACACCAGGAGGGATGTGAACAAGGGGCCAGGGACACAAAATGGGTCAGAAAACGATAAACATCTTGAAACAGAAAGAGGGGCTTGACTTATCGAAGGCAGGCCCTGAGCTCTTTAGACATCACACACACACACAGACACACAGACAGTCACGCTCGCTAAGAATGCCTTAAGTTTGAAAGATTTAGTTTTGTGTCCGTGGCTAGTGCTGCTCTACTTAGGCTAGATGAATGGAGATAGTAGATACTAGGTCAGTGTGAGTGCTGTTAAAGCCTTTGGGAGCACATATACTTGCGCATGTGCATTTGCATATGTATTTGTGGCAGAAAGTGTGTGTGTTTGCTGTGGGAAGGATTGCATTTGGTTGCATACATGTAAGGTGTGTGTGTTGGCCTCTAATAAATGACTAGCCATGTTGTCCCCCATGGCCTGGCCCAACCATGCTCCACCGCTCTCCTGCTCTCTACATTCATCTCCTGTCTTAATCCACGGCCACCTGCTACCCGCGAGATACTCACACACACACACGCGCACACTCTCTCAAACACACTGCTCCAAAACATGTGCAAAGACACACACACACAGACACACAGCGTTCTGTCTTTAATAAATTCTTCAGCAGTGACAAGGCGAAGATAAAAATGCCATGACAAAGCGTGCGTGCATGTGTGTTCCTGTGCGTTCAACTCGATGCGAGAGGCCGTCAGGCAAGTGGCTCGTGCTGGAGCGTGCGCGTTGTGCCATTACATGGAATTATGAGTGCAGAGCATGGCAGGAGGCTCGGGGTCAAGAGGAGACGCGGTGCAGAAACCCAAGAGAGATGGCTGCACGAGCACACGCATGCACACCTGGACAGCTACCTCGGAGTCATCATTTAACCTTTTGTGACCCATACGCCACAGAGCAACCCCCAGTGATAACCTATTAGCCCAGTCAGACAGACAGACATACAGACAGACAGAAGTTATAAGCTGCAAAAAGAAAAATGAGGGGAATTAAAAGGAGGAGTAACATCACTAAATGGGGCACAGATGTTCCTCTCGGCCCCTGGAGTGGTGCCTCCACTGCCCTGGACTTTCACCAGACACTCAGCCTCCTCTCCTCTCCTTTTCTCTCCTCTCTTCTCCTCTCCTCGTCTCACTACATGGCGGCATGGACTGTAAGTGGCTCGCACATTAAGTGCCAGCTGAGCTCCATCTCTGGACCCGTCTGTTGACCCTCTGCTACCCAGCTACAGCTACCAGTCACTGGGGCTTCATAGCCTTTGGGATTGTTTTTTTTTTTATGTTTTTTTTTTCTTTTTTAGCTTCAGCTGTTACAGGGATAAACAAAGCTTCCCAGCCTGAAGTCGCTCAGAAAATCTGCTGTGTGTGTTTTTTTTTTTGGTAGATACAACTTTCGACTTTGTATTTAGCTTACATTCTGTTGCAAAATTGAGACCCAGTTACTCAGAAAAGTCAAAAATCTTGTTGCAAATAGTTTAATGTGGACAGTATTTACTTTTTACAGTCTATGAACAGTAAAAGAAGCAAAGAGCGCAGGTGAGGGAGAAACCATTAATGCTTACATCCTGTCACACCATCTCAATGTTTCGCCAGGTGTAGTTTTCTAGAATGAAAATTGTCCCGACACGAATGTGATTACACTATAACAAGGCTCAAAGCTGTTCTTTGAGCAACCACCTCGTTACATTACCTATATCATTAAAATGTATTATTATTATTTCAAGAAAGAAACATTGTAGCTTACTTTTATAGGTACTTTTTTTTTTCCTTGGTGCTTTGGGCACCTCAGGGCAAGTCCTGTTTCATTCCATTACATTTAAGAGAAAGCAGATGTCTCCAAAACTGGGCAACTCACACCACAGCAGTTTACATGGATAAATAGCACCACAGGCCAGAGGAAAGCTATGTGAATTAAATTCTGGGGTGAGCTGTCCGTTCAACTTAACAACATTTAGGCATTTTAGCATTTGAAGATTTGAGAAAAACAAGAAACAGCCTTGAAATATCTTTTTTAAAGGTATTTGCTTTTTATTCAGACCAAAGTCTGCAGCAAACTGGATTCTTAGTGTGACACTTCCTTTCCTTCATACAACTTGGGAAAGAGTTTTGTACTAGTTTGAAAGTAAACGTTAACATTTGCATAAAAGAAAAAATGTACCTGAGTCTACTGCCATCGATATGAATGAGAGTACAAGCAATAATACTGTCATGTATTTGATGTATGTGTCTCTCCTGTCAGAGTCTTTGTCGGGGTCAGTAAATGGCAACGCTGTCGTTTCAGCGAGCCAGCGTGCATGTTTGAGGTCAGAGCCTCGCCACTCTTCTTTATCACCTAATTTTGTACATACGTGCACAGAAACAAGAGACGCACTCGTCCCCACACACTTGTAACCTCGCACGCCGGTCTGCAGCCCTGCAACCTTAAGGTCAACCAAAACGGTATTTTACTGCTGAGCGTACTCGCCGCCCCGAGCTCCTCGAAGGCACAGGTTTCCATACTGAAAATGCCAACTCAGTGACAGATGTCATGCAGCACACAGTCACCGACACATGCTCGCACATGTACGCGCAGCACTTCATCTATTTTCGAGACATGGAGGGGTACCAGGGGCTTGCTTTTAGAGAGCACTGAGGCATTTTATAGGACAGCAC